ACCCAGTGGGACCCCGGCCCCGCGTGACTCTCCCCGGGAGAGTTGAGCCCCGGAGCGAGCAGGGCGGCGTTCCGGAGCGGGAGAAGCAGGAGAGCCGCCCTCCAGGGGATCGCGGGCGAGGGGCGAGGGAGGGCTTTGGGGTCGCCTCGGCTGAGCCGGACTCAGGACGACCCGAGGCGGAGGAGAAACAGAGGCGGCGGCGGCGGCGGATCGTGCGGGCTCTGGCTACGAAGGGAGACGCGCCCTTCGCGGACGCAGCCTCTTCCCTCCCTCCCTCGCTCCCTCCAGCCCTTGGCCCGGTCCTTTGCCGGTCAGCGCAACTCGGAAACTTTGCCGAGGAATGGCCGGGGACTCTCTCCGGACGGGGGGGCCCGGGTCCGGCGCCCGCCCAGCCCTTCTGCGGGAGGAAAGCGCCGCCGCCTGTACCGGCCGCCGGCGGAAGGCAGGCGAGGCAAGTCGCGGCGGGCTGGTGGGGCTGTTGGTCAGGCGTTGCCCACCTCTCTTCCCCGCCTCGGGGGCTGCTCGCCCGACCCCCCCCCCACCGCACTGCACCGCCTGCCTTCTGGCCTAGAGCTTCTTGCCCGGCATCTGATCATCGCCCAAGGCAAGCCCCGGCGCCGGATTGCGCTTGCCATCCTGTGAACCTGCGGTGGGGTGGAGGGAGGGAAGGGAAAAGGGGAGGGGGAAAGAGAAGAGGTGAGAAAAAGGCGACCTCCGCCTTTCCTCGGAGAGCATCAGGACTCGAGATGAGCATCTCCCTGTCTCCCTGACTTTGGCCGTTACCCTTTGATTTCGGTGAGGGTGACGCTCTGCTCCCGAAGAAGCGGAGTTCCCTGCGCGCCAGCCTTTGCACCTGGGAGGCTCTCGTTTATTGTCTCGCCTCGGCGGCGGACCTGCCGCTTGCTCGACTTTATTACGGAAGCAGCAGAGCTGTTCCCGGAGGGTGTGTGTGTGTGTGTGGGGGGGGAGTAAGGAAAGGTGGGCTGGAAATCGGGAAAGCCGAGGCAGCAGCGACCCTCGCCAGTGCAGACGGCCTTGACTTAGAAGAACGTGTCGGTCATGTGAGGAAATCCGACAACTCATCACTCCAGGGAGCTCTGTTTGATAGGCAGGCTTTGCAAATCTTCTTCTTTGTGTGTGTGTGTGTGTGTGTGTGTGTGTGTGTGTGTGTGTGTGTGTGTGAGAGAGAGAGAGAGAGAGAGAGAGAGGCTAATTGCTCTCTCCTCTCCTCCTCCTTACCGTCCACTAACTGATTTTTTTTTAAACTCAGGGAGAACCTAGTACAGTATTTCATCCCCTTCCTCCACAAACCAAACCACCACCCCCCAACAAAGAATCAGTAATGAAAAGTTTAGGCAATTTTATCAGGCATCTATCTCACTTTTTGTTTGCTTGCGGAAGATCGAAAGACTTTGAAGTACCAGGAGGGGAAAGTGTTAGGTGAAACCCACTTTAGAGGAAACCAAAGACCCTGTCTCTAAAGATTCCTTTGATCAAACAAGGGCTTCTCGAAGCATTTAATTTCACATGATGGTGGAGTGTTCTGCTAAGCGCTGCCGTTCACAGCAGTAATTTGGCAGAGTTATAATACACACATAGGGAAGGGGAAACTGTCTTTGACGCTAATATAAGAATGCAGTTTAACTCACTGGAGAAGACTGCTTTTTTAAGGGCAACTTGATCATAATATCAGAAACCTGCAGAATGAAGGGATAGATCGTGTGAGGTGCTCTCTTTATGACTTTCCTTTTCCAAGTATGTGCAGGCAGGGCCACCTTAATTAAAAAGGACAGCTTAATAGGGACAGTTCTCTTGTGTGTGCATAGTTAGGAAGAGCTTGGGAAATATCTTTAAAAATGTTCAAGCTGAACAAAAAAGTCTCATTGTGCGGAGAATATATGTGGGAGTAGTCAGGGTTTTTCTTCCTTTTGTTTTCCTTACCTTGGAGATCTATATATAGAACGCTAGTTTTAGATTATTTTCAAGGAATTTTATCCATATAAGTAGCCTAATTATCTCTTCCATAGTTAAAATTGCTGCATTGTATGCTGTTACCTCTTCTCCCTATGTTATTCTAAAGCTTGTGGCACTAAAAGCATGCTTATTAAGTTTCACTGAATTTAATACATTCACATCCTAGTGTAAATCACCTTTTAAGACCAAGTTGATGTTATTGCAAATGAACAAAATAACTGTATAATAGATAACCCAACACCTATATGGTTTAATGATAGTCTATATTTTATGCCATAAGGTTTAGGTTAATTTAAATCTAACCAGAAGGAATTTATAATATCTTGCACCCTTGGGGTGGCTGCTACAGTAAGTTTTAGTTCTTGTAACCTACATTCAGATTGCTGCACTTGTAAACTCACTTTGATGTTGAACAACCCTTATATTCCAGTGTGGATCTTAAAACCAGTCAAATGAGAATGAAGTACGTCAGGAAAAAAACTAAAGAAAAATAAAACAAAAATAAGACAAAAATGTTGTGGCATCTTAAAGACTAACTGCTGTATTTTAATGTGAGCTTTCATGGACGAGTCCAGAATAAAGTAACTTGCTTTCCTAGTGGACAGAGAGTAAGAAAAATGTCTGTAAAACAACTTATATCAAAAGCACATCAAAACATTTTGCAGGATATTTTGATACGCCTGTGGGGGGTGACATCCACACTGTTTGGGCACAATTCAGCCAAGACAAGATTAAATGGTTTAAACACCCATTCATTTCAGTGGGGAAAAGTAAAGGCTGAACACAGCCCCCTTATTGAAATCACCGACATTTAAAAGTGCATAACCTTGAACACAGTGCGTCTGTCCTTGTCTGATCCATCTCATTTGGTCACACTTGGATCCCGTGAACTGGATTTAACTGGGCTTTAACTCATAGTACTGTTTGTCAAGAAGTTGTGTAGACATTGCAGTTTCGTGAAATTTTCCTTCTCATAAATTCTGTTATGCTTTCACGAGACTTAGGAGGCAAGGCATTGAGAATGTTCTTAGTCTTTGGGAATCCTTGGCCCTTTCATCTTCCATCCAACCAAGATGATAGGTCTCATCGTAGTTCTTGATAGCAAATATGACACAAGGGTGGTTAACTCTGTCATGTGCATTGAAATTCTTCCTAAATTAGTTATTTCAAGAGATTTTTCTATGATCATTAACTCTCTAGCTTAACCTCGTGGAGTAGCTACAGTTCCTTTAGCATTAATGGGTCAAAATCTTCTTCCTTCTTCACAGAATAATATAAATTGGGGTAAAATTAAGAAATACTAGAAAGTCAGGATGTGGCTTCTTGAATTCCACTGGAATGAACTATAAAACCCAATGATTTGTACTATTTTTAGAGGAAATGATTTTCCGTTCGGTAGCTCTTTCTAATTTATAGGGAAGAAATGGCTTGCCTTGTCCATTTGTTTTGTATAAGACAGTGGATGCAAATGAAACAGCTGTCTGTGCTTTTCCTTAAGATCTGAAAAGGAGACTTTGAGACCCCAAGAGGAAAACAGTTCTGGTTATACAACAGAAGCTGCAATTTTTGTGTTGATTAATTATTAATTTCAAAAACCCCAAGGTTTTGCGTGTCTGCATGCAATATCAAGAGCTAGTACAAGGGAACTGAACAGATATGAAAAGCAGAATATTAGTATCCTGTTGAAGAACTTATCTGATGCTGGGATTGTTGCTATTCATAACCAGGGAAAGGCAGAGGTTGGGGATCATTATCTTTATAGCTCAGAAGGCCTGACATTGTTATAAAAGGATGCTTTAGATGTTACAGTTTGCTTGATGGGAGAGCAAACATTGAGTTGGAAACAATACATGAAGTGTGTAGTGTGTGCTTGGGGTATTTTGTCCACTGTAGTTAAGATCTACATAAATAATGGTACAAAGCAACTTTTAGACAAGCAAATGTGCCTTACATGATTTGCCTTTTTAAAAAAGAAAGAGGGAATTTATTTTCCCATTATTATCTGATCTATTCTTTGAGGAGTTCCTTTAGTTCTAGATTTAGCAAAGAGGAATTGTTCTCTTATTCAGTTATCTCAGCAGAAAGAAATCTGTCTTCACCGTGGGATAAAAAAAGTGTATCCAGGAATTATTTTGGACGGGAGCTGTTTCCACATGGTTGGAAGTACTTTTAAATGATTAAACCATTTTGGTGGATGCTGACTGTAAGACTCACAGCCATGGACCTACAGGGAGGGGTAGGTGATTCTGTCAAAACAAAGATTTCTTATAAGATGGTACCCCCCCTCTTTTTTTTGGACAAAAATGTGCACAAGCTCTTCCCTCTTTCTTTCTTTCTTTCTTTCTTTCTTTCTTTCTTTCTTTCTTTCTTTCTTTCTTTCTTTCTTTCTTTCTTTCTTTCTTTCTTTCTTTCTTTCTTTCTTTCTTTCTTTCTTTCTTTTTCTACGTTTCTTTGAGCCCTGCTTCCTTTATACAGTATTTATTTATTCTAAGCAGTTTGCTTCCCCACATTTTAGCCAGAACGTTTCCTTGGAAGTGTTGAAAACAGCACCAATACAGTTCTGATCTAAAACACATCACAGTAAGGACCAAAGAGGTAGGAAGATGGGGAAGACGGAGCTCAGACACCAGTTCTTAGAGTTAAACCTTCTCCGTAACCAGTAGGGACAGAAACTGCTTTGAGGAAGAGCCAG